TTTGCTGTAGAAGTTCCTATATTTTGTAAAGCAGCACATGATTTTGCAGATTCATAGTCTTCTTCATCTTATACAAAGGTATGCCTTTTTATATAAATTTTAATATTCTAAAAAAAATGTAAATCATGATTCACGTAAAATCGCGTAATCACAATTAGCGCTAAAAAAAATGCCACAAATTCAGCGAAAAAGAAAAATTATTATTGCGACTGATGCTAGAAATGGATGAAGCTGGAAATCAGGAACCCCGATTTAAAAATATAAACCTTGCCAAAATCTACCTATGCTCTTTCATTATCAAAACTAATCCTAAATCCTAATCTAACTATGAAAAAAAAGCTAAAAAATACACACCAAAAAATTTTGAAAATTTCATATTAAAATATTTAAAATTTCCAGTCTCAGCCGCTTCCAGCTTCAGCCGCAACAATTATTGTAAGACTGTACTAAGATTATGAGTTAGGCACATGCCAGAATTTGGCAAAATTGTTATAACATCTGACAAGTAAAGCATGCAGAAGATAGAGTTTAGATGAAATAAATATAAACTTCTAGCTATGCTAATTGATTGGTTACAGTTAATCGATTCAATTGGATTTTGATACTGAGCAATTAGATCATCATATGTTTTTCTAACAATTCATTTCTATGTGATATCATTGCTATTCACATGAGAGCAATAATCTCTTAGAATGGGCTGAATCGATAATTTTACATTTTATGATTGATCAAATTTAGAATTTAAAAAAAAAAGACTCAAAATTTTGCTTGTTTACATTCTTGATTGACCAAATTTGGAATTAAAAAAATATTCATTTTATTGGCCATTTCATATTTTTTGTATTTAAATTAAAATGTTAATAACTAAGTTGATACTTTTCAGCTAGTTCAAGAATCTTATTTGGTATAAGGTCATAATTATTTCTATATGATACCATTGTTATCATCATATCACAAAGCAATATTCTATCTGGAATTTTTTTAAGATATTTATCAGAAAATTCTTGGTGATATTCTTACCATAAATACCTAAAAATTTTTGCTTTTAGATTTAAAGGGCTTTAATGTAGAGAAAATCATACTTCAATCTACCTTTAACATAATATTTAATTTGTTATTCCAGAGAAATATGGCTCGAGTTTTGAAGAGAGCTATGCTAGAAAGACTGCTTGTAATTGTTCAAAAAAGAATAAGGTCTAAAAATTTTTTTGAGCTATTTGAAAGTTTTCATTCATTTATGTATTATTTTTATTTGTTAATTGGTAATTAAATAGTTAACATTTAATTTTCAGCTCTTATTATATTCTTCAATAATAATTCTATATGATTTAATTTATATTAATAAATTAAAATTAAATTCTTTTTTAATTATATTATTAATTAAACTATTACAATTTGAACAACTTAATCAAATTTTATTTTCATATGCCAAAATAGTCTGACCACTTTTGAATTTTATTAATACATGATATTCTCAAGCATCTAAATTAATAAGTCTGAGTTCAATTTTTAATTAGTAGAAAATAAATTATTTGGTCAAGTGAGTACATTATTGTGATGAAAAAAAGATGTCAGATACTATCTTTTTTATCATTGAGTTGTGCTGATTAGCTAAAATTTAATATTCACATTTTGCAATGTGAATCTTTAACAAAATTATTGTAGTACTTGTGCATGATCTCTATAGCTAGCTAGTTACACTGAGAGAGATGTTTGAGAGTAGCCACAATTTGTTTCTTGTATTTGTAACAATTCAATATTTTTGTTCAAGCCAATTTCTGCTCATATTATTATTTTTCAATTGTAATAAAGTATAGTACATTTATAATTTGATTCAATACTTTAAAGTATCCATAGTTCAATAGTATCGATTGAAAAAGAGTAAATATAATTGTATTTCATATTAATTATACAAATTTAATAAAATAACACTTGAAAAAAGTGAATATTGTATTTCAAGTATTCAATAATTGCTATATATTAAGCAAGAAAATGCTAATGTAAAGTTTAAAGATTAAATACAGTTATGATTAAAAATAAAAAAGAAGATTTCTGTTCCTTAGTAATTAACTCTCTAAAAGAAGATGATTTTAAAATAAACTAACACAAAAAAACTTCAGAATATACTATTATTAAAGTCAGATTCGATACTTATTTTTTTTATAATCTAATTATTTGGCATAAAACTATTTCTAATATAGAAGATTATAAAAAATTATATAGCACAACCACAACTCATGAACAAATATATCCAAAATTGGTAGCTATTACCAAAAAAATAGTTAACAAGCTTAATCAAGACCAAATGAATTACTATGTTAAGAAGACACAATTAAATCGAATACCTTACTTTGATAAATATAGGATCATAGAATTTCTAAAAAAAGAGTATTTTGATCATTGCAAAGAATATTTAAAAAAGTTAAATAAGTTGAAATGTGATAACCAATCAGAGTTCTAAAGTAATTAAAATTTTGTTTTAGAAATAAATATTTAATATGTAAAATTTAAATAAATTTTTTTCATTAAATTTAAAATAAATTTATGTGAAAGATGTTATAATTCCTACTCATACTTTTTTTTGCCTAATTGATTTGATATATCGAGTACATATGAGTAGTCAAATATCACTTTTACTAATATGTGAAGTTGGTATAATGATTTAAATAGTTTTTAGTAAAGATCAAAAGTAAAATCCTCTAAACTTTTGTACCCATAATTATGATTTAACAGTAAATTTTATTATGAAAGAATCATTTTCAATTAAAATAACTGATATAAATCAAAGTATATTACAATTGAATTGATACTGTAATGATAATAGAAATGGAATATTATAAGAGTTGTATTATTTTACTTTAGATAAAAGAGAAATTAAGTTTCAAAATTAATTTTAAAAATCGAATTCTATTGATAATTCATTTTTGTTGCAATAAATTCTGTAAATATCATTATTTTGTAAATTTAATAAATTAAAAATAAATATATTTTATTATTTGAACTGTTTATTTTTTGACAGTTTCTAGTTGCTGTTGCTGAAATTTGACCAAAATTGATAATAGATTCCACCAAAATAAATATATTTGTCAAAAGAATTACTTTATTGAATATATACTTTTGTATAAGATGAAGAAGACTATGAATCTGCAAAATCATGTGCTGCTTTACAAAATATAGGAACTTCTACAGCAAA